GTACCTGAACAAACAGCTCATATTTCATCGGCTTTACTTGCAAAATGACAGTGTGGACAGTTAGTTCGAAAGATTTGAAATGGATCTGATTTTCAAATCTGTAGTGATAACAAAGCCACATTTCTAAAAAAAAATTAATGAATAAATAAATAATCTTAATGCACTATAAAATTAGAAAAAAAAATAGTCCATATGAATCTATATTTCAAGTCTGAAGTCACATGATAGCTCTGTGTGAGGAACAGACTAAAACTAAAGTCATATGGAGCAATTTTGTGGTGTTTTTTAATTACTTTGAACTGCTGCTGTACAGTAAATAATGCCATAATTTTGGGTGAACTGTTCCTTCAAGATTTTAAACAGAATCTCAAATGATGTGCTCCAGGAGGAAGCTGATGTGTTTTCTCTGACAGCACACCCAGGATCATTCATCATGAGCCCCTCTGAGGATCTCACATATTCTGTACGTTAGCCTTGCTTCCCCTCCATCTGACTGTGACGCCCCTTGTGGCTTCAAGGGCACAAAGATGTGAAATGTGAGAATAATTTATCTCTTGTTGTCAAGACCTGAAAAACGACCAAGACAGCATCAAATCCGATGACAGCAATCAGTCAAGCGGGAGAGTCTGGATTGACGATGCATCCATGCTGCACAACGGAGGCTTTCACAGGAGAAAAGAGTGGAAAATGCACATGGATGGAGGTGAGGGAGATGTGCATAGAGCCCCGGGTGGGTGGAGGAGGAGGAGGAGGAGGAGAACATGGGAGTGCTGACAGGAAGTTGCCCACAGAGGCTGTAAAACACACGCTTTCATCACAACATGTACAGGCAAACCCCACATGAACCAGGTTAAACAAAGTACAGTTACATATGGCTACACTCTGAGGAATGATCGAGCAGTAAAACCCGTCTGAAATGACATTAACAGGCAGGAAGATCTTGTTTTGGTCCTCTCCAATTTCAACATTGTTTAAAAACAAGCTTACTAAGTGGAAGTTAGTAGAATTAGACTCCTCGCTGGTCTGAAGGGCGCTGTCCCAAAACCTACTGAGCTCACACATTTAGACAAAATCAACATTAGCATCAGATGCATTCTTCATAGAGAAGGCAATCCTATGAATGCACTACAACAAACTCAGATAAAAAAAATTGGTAACTGGTAACTATAAATATGATTTCCATGATGCAAAATATGTGGACAGAATCACGTAATCCAGTCATAAAGTGTGGAATTTACAGTATAACGCAAAATGTCATGGCATTTGGCGAATTTTGGATGAATAAATCAGAAGCAGGACTGTACAATCAATCAAAGGAACTAGTGTCTGCAAATATTAAAGCACAGCAAGATTGGTATTGAAAGACTGAATGTTCTGTGTGTCTCTGTGTGAATGAGCAAACTCAAACACACAAGACACTTGTGGTGTTTACAGCATCGGCCGTCTCACTACATGAGGAAACTCCACATGAACTTCATTTTCAGAGATGTACTGGGAGTCACTTCAGTTCACTCCATTGTTACATTTCCATTTACAGTTTAAAAGATTAACTGAACTGTTAATGTTTTATTCCTTCATTTGATTTACCAATGTTTTTGATAATAAAAGCATTCAATCATAAATGCAGAAAATTAAAACAGACAACACAGAATTTCTGAATAAAGCATTTCATTGGGCCCTATTTTAATATATTATTATATTGTTAAAGTTTTATGAAATCAATTGATTAGACATGGTTTTGGATTATTAAAATGTAATCAATCAATCCAGAAAAATTCAAACAGAAAACACAGAATTTGGGGGAAAATAACATTAAAACTGGGAAAAAAATAAGTGGATTTAATTTCACTTGTGTTAAATATTTGTGACCCTAGACCACAAAACCATATTGGTACTAGGAAATTTACAAAATATCTTCATGGAACATGATCTTTACTTAATATCCTAATGATTTTTGGCATAAAAGAAAAATCGATAATTTTGACCCATATAATTTTTTTTGCCTATTGCTTAAAAATATACCCCAGCGACTTAAGACTGGTTTTGTGCTCCAGGGTCACATTTAATAAATTGTACAAAATTCATGATTTCAATCAATTACACATGTTTTGGAAAATGGAATCTAGAAAACTGAAAACAGAAAAACGGAATCCAGAAAAAAATTAAATGGATTTCATAGGGCCCTAAATATACTTATATTAATTAACTCAATAATGAGAAAGTATCTAAAAATATGACTGCACTGACACCAAAGAAATGAGAACCCAACTTAAACTGAATTAAGCATGATGATGGCAGTTTCGTCTTCTGTAGAGCTGCTTTACAGCTGAATCACATCTTGCAACATCGACACTGTTATGGAACTGATTCGAATCAACACTGAACTGACTCGAGTTGAATAATGAACATCATTGCTGTCTTTTGTAGAGCTGCTTATCGCTGAATTGAAATTGTTTCAAAATTGATCTGAACTGAACCAACACTAAAACCAACTTACGGCAGAATCTGAATTGTCTCCATAGTCGAGTTTCCATAATTGATTCTGTTGTTTTCCTGTTTATCACAGTGAAGCTGCTTTGACACAATCTGTATTGTATAAAGCGCTATGGAAATTTAGGTGACTTAACTAAAGACACTGTTACCGCCATCCAAAATCGTATTTCCTCACCTATAGATGACCCGTGGAGAGAGAACCATGTGGTCACAGACAGATGTCAGACGTGGCTCGTTAAACACCCAGCTGATCTTCAGCTCATCTGCACAGCCGTCGAGAGCCTCACATCTGCTCGCTGTCAGTCTCACTTTAGGTGTCAAAACCGTCCTCGCCACATGTGAGTAGAACATTTACAATAACGATGAGCTCATTTTCCAGAGTCAGCCTAAAGAGCGATGAGTCAGGGTTGTCAACTAGTTGTCCATTAACCGAAGAGTCAATCAGTGAAGTTTATCAATAAGGTTGTGCAGAACATTACGAAGATCACGAACTTTGGCTAAGGCCAATCAGATGACGTACAAAACCTGCATTCTAACCAATCAGGCAATTGGCAGCTTGTGATAATGGAGTGCCATTTGTCTTTCAGCCGTTTGATTGATGGCATTTAACACAGCCATTCAAAGGAAGTTTGAAGGATGGAATGATCGTAATGGGACCAAAGTCAGGGAAACTCTTTCTCAAACAAACACAGCCTCTCTCCCGTGGGTGGGCCTGGAATGCTCACAACCACAAAGTCAAATAACCAGCACACATTCAAAGTGCGGTCGGGTGAATCTCACGAACACATGTCAATGTCACATTTCAACTCAAAATCAAAAGATAAATAAGAAGAAATTGTATTTCGCATGAGGAAATTAAGTCTGTTTTGAGACATTAAAAATGAAATGCATTGCACCATTATTTTAATGACATTTAAGCAAGTTCTCATGGCCTTAAATACTGTTACCCGTTTAATCAAATTAGCTTAAATAAAAGTAAGTAAAATAACTACTAACATAAAGCATAACTACTTAATTAAAAAAATAGCCTATATTGGTGATTCTCGGTTGTGACAAAAAAGGGTCATAAAAGAAAAGAAAAAAACAATGCAAATAATAAAATGCAATTAACCAGAAATAAATGTGCTTATTTAGGACAGCATATACTGCCATTCAAAAGTTTGAGGTTATTAAAAGAAGTCTCTTCTGCTCACCAAGGCTAAATTTATTTGATCAAAAAATATGGTAAAAACAGTAATATTGTGACAATATTATTACAATTTAAAATAAACGTTTTCTAATTTAATATATTGTAAAATGTAATTTATTCCTGTGATGCACAGCTGAATTTTCAGCATCATTACTACAGTCTTCAGTGTCACATGATCCTTCAGAAATCATTCCTAATATGCTGATTTGCTGTTCCAGAAGCATTTCTTATTATTATCAATATTGAAACCAATTGTGCTGCTTCATATTTTTGTGGAAACCATGACCATTTTTTTCAGGATTTATGATGAATATAACGTTAATTTGAAATAAAAAAATATTTTGTAACATTATATATTATTGTAAAATGTAATTTATTCCTGTGATCAAAGCTGAATTTTCAGCATCATTACTACAGTCTTCAGTGTCACATGATCCTTCAGAAATCATTCCTAATATGCTGATTTGCTGTTCCAGAAGCATTTCTTATTATTATCAATATTGAAACCAATTGTGCTGCTTCATATTTTTGTGGAAACCATGACCATTTTTTTCAGGATTTATGATGAATATAACGTTAATTTGAAATAAAAAAATATTTTGTAACATTATATATGTCTTTACTGACACTTTTGATCAATTTAATGTGTCCTAGCTGAATAAAAATATTTATTTTTAAAAAAGTCTTACTACCTCACACTTTTTAAAATATAAATTTTAAACTTAATAAATAGAATTAATATAAAACATAATAATAATAATAAGAATAATAAATGTAAAATAATATATAACATAAATATAAGAGAGGAAATAAATAAAAAGCGTTATTATGTCCATAATAATAATGAGAATGTGAGTTTTTTGTAGTATGGTAACAAGAATGTCACAATAAATAAATAAATAAATAAATAAAAGGACATTTGTGACCCTGTCTGTGAAAACCCAGCTAAAGTCATTTTTTGGTGATTTACTGTTTTCTATATAAAATCATCCTTCATAAGGTAAAGAACATTCTGTGAACATGTAACATTGATATCTTTATTACTGACTGAGTAAGACCATGTCAAAGACTGAAATCAAACTTTAGATGTTATTTCATTTCATTTCAGTTATCTCATAATTAGATTTTGAGACTTTAGCCTGGATTTCACAGAGAGGGTCACATTTATTTTCTCTATGCAAGGTCTTATTTCGTATTCTTCTTTTTGATTTTGGGGTGAAATACATCCCAAAAATGTTCTTGACAGGTTTCATGTATGAACATACAAATCATGTCTTCCCAGCAGTGATAATCTCCCAACAACCTGAACTCCACTCACCAGTCCACCGCAAGCGTCCAATGAGGCGAAAGAGTCTGTGTGATTGAGAACGGCTCCGGTATAGAAACACCGTCTGACCCTTAGAACAGGCTCGTGCTGAAAGCTGCCCTCCTCACCCCTCTCCTCCGTCACAAACTCCTCGGCGAGGAAAGAGTCGTCTCTCTGGAGCTGCAAGTAAAGCTCCTTTCCGAAAGCAGGCAGTCGTAGAAACAGGTGGTCCTCCTGCTGATGGTCCGAGCGTGGTCTGCGACCCCTGCTCCACCTGTAGGCTCCCTGGAGCAGGTGCACCTCGTCCGGCCGCAGCTGCTGTGGAACGACCACATCTGTCTCGTACATGGCCGATTGCGCTAGGAGACATGCAACACGTTGTAATTAGAATAACAGTGCAAAGTGTATGTTAGTCACGTCGTGGTTCCCAAAAAACAGCTTCCATGACCTTTCCAGCCATTCAGAATTACTGGAGAAGAGTCACAAAACCATTTCATGCAATGAAATCTTTTAGCACTAAGCATAACCAGAAGCATTTCGATTTTTAAAGATTTGAATCATTTCCATGACTTTTCCAGACCTACAAATAATTTTTTTTAAATTCCCTGATATTTCCAAGTTCTGTGGGAAAAAAATGCCCAACTCCTAGTTTTATAAGTCAGAGTTGAGTTTACAAGTCTGCCTGCAGTTAGTTAAAGAAGGATACACGCAAGGAGAAATAAACTTGTTAAAACATTAGATGTGGAAATAGAGACGGTACAGAAGAGTTTATAAAATGAAAGTGGACTTGGTAAGTAGCCCACTGCACAGAAACATAAGTACACACTCAAAATCTAGTAGGCTGCCTACCTAGACTGCATTTTTGGGCATCACACAGTTGCATGAGCTCACATGCTCTCTCAGCACTGTGACATAACATACGCTCTTTGCCAAAATAGTTTTTTTGTGCCCGTAATGCCTAAAAATGCTGTCTAGGAAAGCAGCTCACCAGAGTACAGAGGACACACTATCTGGCTGCCTACTAAGACAGTATTTTTGGGCGTCATACAGTTGCATGAACTCACATGCACTCTTTGGCAATAGATAATATCTATCTCCAAATGATATCAAAAATGCAAAAAAAAAAAAAAAAAAAAGTCTGTTCACTTGGAGATTACATCCAAATGAAATAAAAAAAGAAAAAAAAAAAAAAAAAAAAAGTCTGTCTAGTTAGGCAGCTCACTTTGCAGAGAATGCGATTTCTGTACCCTAGTAAGCTGACTAGACAGCAATTTTGGGCATCATGCAGTTCCATGAGCTCACATTCACTCTCATCCAAGAGAATGTCTAAAATGAGCCTAAAATACTATTAAAAAAATTTTTTTTAAACTGTTTAGTTGGGCAGCAGACAATGTGATTTCTGTACCCTAGTAAGCTGACTATCTAGACAGAATCAGCTCACTTTGCAGAGAATGCGATTTCTGTACCCTAGTAAGCTGACTAGACAGCAATTTTGGGCATCATGCAGTTCCATGAGCTCACATTCACTCTCATCCAAGAGAATGTCTAAAATGAGCCTAAAATACTATTAAAAAAATTTTTTTTAAACTGTTTAGTTGGGCAGCAGACAATGTGATTTCTGTACCCTAGTAAGCTGACTATCTAGACAGAATTTTGGGCATCATGCATTTGCGTGAGCTTGCATGGATTCTCAGCAAGGAGAACATCTAAAATGTGCCTAAAATTCCCCCCAAAACTGTCTAGTTAGGCTGTTTACTACACAAAGAATGTGATTTTTGTACCCTAGTAAGTTGACTATCTAGACAGCATTTTGGGCATCATACAGTTGCATGACCTCACATGTAATCTCAGCCAAGTGAATGCCTAAAATTCCCCCCAAAAAACTGTCTGGTTAGGCAGCTCAGTACACAGAGAATGTGACTTCTGTGACTGACTTTTTGTAAGATGATCTAGAAGACAGCATTTTTAGGCATAATCCATTGCATGAGCTTCTTAGCCAAGAAAACATCTAAGATGATAAAAATGTTCTAGTTTGGCAGTTTACTACATAGATAATGTGACTTTTGTACCCTAGTAAGCTGATTATCTAGACAGCATTTTGGGCATCATACAGCTGCAAGAGCTCATGTGCCCTCTCAGCCAAGAGAATGTCTAAAAAGCCGCAAATGTTGTCTAGTTAGGCAGCCACTAAAAAGAGAATGTGACTTCTGTACTCTAATACACTTACTATCTAGACAGCATTTTAGGCATCATGCAGTTGCATGAGCTCACATGCTCTCGGTCAAAAGACTGTCTAAAATGCATAAAATGTCCCCAAAACTGTATAGGTAGGCATAAAACTACCCATAGAATGTGACATCTGTACCCTAGTAAGCTCACTATCTAGACAGCATTTTTGAGCATCAAAAATGCATTAGCTTGCATGCACTCTCAGTCAAGAATATGTTTATAATGCATAAAACGCCCTAAACTGTCTAGTTAGGAAGCTCACTACACAGAGAATGTGCCTTCTGTACTCTTGTAAGATGATGACTATCTAGTAGACAGCAGTTTTGGCCATCATGCAGTTGCATGAGCTCACATGCCCTCTTAGCACTGTGATGTAACATGCACTCTGCCAAGAGAGCGCACGTGACGTCACAGCATTTCTTTCCGCCTATGAAGCCCAACAAAAGCTGTCTAGGTAGGCAGCTGACTAGGGTTTGAGACACGGCCAACATCTTGAAACGTAATCTGGCTGGTAAGCCCTATATGGCTCTTAAATAAACAATTTAATCTTAATTGAAACAACATGGCTGAAACTATGTTGTAAGCAGCAGGGAAAATATGCAGTTTAAAATAATATAACCAAGTCGAGGACAAAGACGCTGTTAGTAAATGGTCCAGACGAAAAAATTACCATGGTAACCGCAGTTTCCGCCGTTATCGTGACTACTGCAAAACAATAGTAAGTTAAAACGGGAATACTGTAGACGCTTTCATATTATTTCTGTCATTTTATTTATTTTCTTTTTCCCTAGAAGCTATAACTGTAGCAATATTGGTATATTAGCCTGAAACTGGTTACCATGGTGAATTTCTGTCAGGAGTATCGCAGGTGCTGCAGTCTTACCTGATATTGCATTCAGTCCGATGCGAAAGAGAACAAAAGGGAAGAAAAGCAGTAAAGAGTCATGGCCGTGCATTATTAAGAGTAATATATCGTAGAGCAAGTCTTTGTGAAGAGGGCAGGCAGTGTGCGCTGGCGGAGCAGCAACAGCGGACTGACGCGAAGTTTCAGAAAGTTTAATTACAGCAGACTGGGAACTCAACTTCATGCAAAAGCACCGCCCCCTGACACCGACGTCCCGCCCCATCAGCGTTCGGATTGGTCGATGAGATCCAAGTAAATAGATCCTCGCAGCGTCATTGGTTACTGATTCTGTCAGTCTGTAAAAAGGGCTGGAACAGTGCACGCGGTCCCACATCTATTGCCAATTTAGCAATTTTGTTGCTAGATTTAGCAACTTTTCATACTACCCTAGCAACTTTTTCTTCCAAAAGCACCTAGCAACAAATTTAGCTATTTTTTAAATGTATTTGGCAACTTTTAGTAACTTTTGATAAGTGACTTAAACAATAAAAGGGACACATTTTTCATCTAAATTACACAAAAAGAGGAAACCAAAGATGACTAGTAGTACACATATCACATGAATTAAGTTAGCTGCTATTTGCAATTGTTCAATTTATTAATAATAATAATAATAATAACAACAACAACTACTGAATAATTGAATAATTGTTCATTTATGACACCTTGTTAGTAGCTTGTACCTGTGATTGTTGGTACACTGTAAAAAAAAATATCTAGAAAAATGGAAAAGTTAGTAATTTTCCAGGACATTATCCATTGTAACCTGAAAACATTAAATACAATGCGTAATTTAAATTGCAGGGAAAACACCTGTAAATAATAAATTTGGAAAATTCCTCTACATTAAGATAGTAGATTGTGCCCTATTTTTACAGACTTTTAGATTGTAGCATACTAACTAATTACCAATACACTGCTTAAAACTGTAATTGTTCAGAATGTATAATTTTACTAGTTTACAAGCTAATAATAATAATAAACTTAAATGGTAATCGTTCAAAAATGTGTAGGGTAAGTACTCAATAATTGAATGTTGTATTTAAAAATTGTTATTTATATTTTAATATTATATTATGCATCTCTATTATTTTACAAACAAATATAAATTAACATATGACTTTTTTTTTTTGCTGAGATTTGATGCAGTGACACAAATTTGCGTCATGATTACATAATGACGTCATCACGCAATGACGTCACAATGCCATTTAACAACTTTTAGCAACAAATCAACCTTCCTTGAGCAACTTCCCCTGAAAATTAGTTGGCAACACCCCCAACTAATCAGAAAAAAATCAGCTACTGGCAGCAAACCACCTAAAGCTGGTTTTCTCTAGCATTTACATAGTCATAGATCATAGTAAACTTATTAATTGTTAGAGATGCAACACCTTGTCAAATTAAGTGATGCTATTAATGATTAATATGAAAAAAAAACCCTTCCCAGTCAAAATAATGACATAAATGTTATTTGCCATTATATATTAAAGACTTCAGTCAGCATGAACCTGAATAATCAAAATCAATTAGATAAAGAAATTCAAATAACATAGACCTGACAAACGCAATTTTCCATCTCTTTGTGTTATTGACGTTGTTTATCATAAGCTAAGACTTATTGTGAATTCTTATATGACAGGATACCATCTCCGTGGCGTATGCTGGCAATGCCTGGTTGCTGTAATTGTGCCTCATCAGTTTTAGAAGCAACAGATGTGATGCATTATTACTAATGTAGAGCATGTGCAGACCTGGATAACGTTATGGGTGAGTATCGATTTAAGTATTATTATAATATATTGAGCTGAAAATTGTCATTTTGAATGTTAGATATTTAGTGGTCAATGCACACAAAGCAGTGCTATTGTAGAGTAGGACAAATATTTTCCATAAATACCCCATATACAGTGATTAAAAGAACAAAACTATGTGAGCTCAGCTTTTGCATTTGTGACAATAAGCCCAGTGTCAATATGCAATAAGAAACATAAAACAAAAATGCATTGCATAATGTTTTCTGTGATACATTTTAAAAGTTATGCTATGCAGTAGCTAGGGTGTTGCAGGGGGGTTGCTAGTGAGTTCTGAATTACATATTAGAGCTGAACAATTTTTTGGTGTAAGAAGAATCTACATTGCATTAATTCTGTGGATTCTCTTTCAACGGTATGAACAACCAAAACTCATATATTAGCAGTCCATACCCTGAGAACGGAGCTCTTGCGAGTGGATAAAGTTCATTAGAGTAGGTCAGCAGAGGCTTTAATCCTATTTCAAGTGCTTTGATTTCTCATTCCTCTTTGCCAAAGCACCACAGAAGAGTTACTGCTGCTTCCTGTGGATAGCGGGGCCGCTGGCACAGCCAAGCGGCCCGTAATGAGTGACGAGAATTATCTAGGCTGGATATAGTGGCGCTATGATGATATCTGAGCACAGAATTTACAGCAAAATAAGTCTGCTGATTAGTTTGAAGGCAGTGTACTACTAGCAGTAATAATGCACAGAGATTTATGATCACTGAATCACCCAGCAACACTCCATAGCAATTCAATAGCTACACCATAGCAATGCACTAAAAACCATCCAGAACACGGAAGAAATCCCATAGCAATGCAATAAAAAAAACACCCAGGACAGGCTAGAAACCCCATAACAATGCACTAGCAACAGCATAGCAATATACTAAAAAAAACTCCCAGAACACCCTAGAAAGGCCTTAACAATGCACTAAAAAATGTGCCTGTGTCTAAATGATTGCCTAGGTGTTCTGGGTGTTTTTGGGATGTTGCAAAGCAGTTTCTTGGGTGTTCTGGATGATTGCCTACTGGCCCAAGCAGTAGCAGCTCCTGACCGTAAATTGAGGGTCTTATCGCTAGTTTATGATAAACATTTTGTAGGCGTTATATTCTAATTAATGAAGACACGTAGAACACTTTTGGCAAAGGTTGTTGCCAAAATATTGATTGACAGTCTTTTAGTACACACAACACATACAATACATAGAATGCTATCTTAGAATTAGTATTTATTGCCTCAGAATATTGATTAAGATTGTTACAAGTTGTGGAGAAATTCCAGTGAGAAAAAAAAAGTCATGTCTATTCTCAGAGCAAACATAAAACACAACATACATAGCCTAACTATATAAAGGGTACAATAAAGGATTTATACTTTATTAATTTGATACGCTACTATACATAGGAAGACATGACATGCCAACAGACATGCCAACTAGTTGCTGACCTGATGCAGACTAATATACAGAGTTTAAGCTGACTGATATTGTCTTGATCTGGAGCGAGGTTTACGTAACGTAAAGTGAAAACAAGCGACAGTCTCAAATCTGCCCCATGGCTCTAAATTAGAGCGCGCTGCAGTTCCATTTCTCACCACAAATTTACACGGGGAAAATTGAGGGGCGCTGTAGAGCTGGGGAAGGATCAGGCTCTGTCTGTCCTGTTTAGGATTATAATACATGCCTGCCGAAGCCATACCTTAAATTTTAATATATCCTGCTCACTTTATGACATAAAATAGTCTAGAAACCCCCCCCCCTCCCAAAATGTTATTAATTCAGTTTATATAGGTCTATGTTTGGGATTAATATTTTGGCTCTACCCCATCTGTCCTTTCAGATAAACCACGGCTGGGCAGAAGTCATAAGAGACCACCATCAGGTGTCTCTGTTATGACTGTCCTTCTTTCAGTTTAAGAGCGTGAATTTTACCATTCAAAAAACATGATAAAAATTGTTTAGAAAGTGAATCGCATGCCTCACAATATTAGCTTCATGTCAATAAACAGTTGAGGATGAGCTACAGTATTGGTGATGCTTATACTTCAGCAAAGACCACTAATGGTGATTATGTTTAGGAGGCGAGGCTTTGTTCTGGTGGTCATCAGTTAAAGCACAATAAAATATTACCTGCATGAAAACACCAGGAGGCCCGGATCCATACAATCATCCCAGGATGCACCATAATGAAAGCAAGCATAAAACGTATTGTGACACCAAAAAATGATGCCCATTTAGCAGGTTTCATTTTGATTTGACACTGTACAGTAGAACTAGTTCTGTGCTTCCTGCACAAGTCAGGAGTGTGGTCAACTGCTCCCCCTAGTAGTTAACAGGGGAAGTACAAAAAACTTGCTCAGTGCCAGTGAGTTTAAAGAGCCAGTCTGTTGTTTCATTATGACATTAAGATGCTTGAGTGCCATTTACACACACTGATTTTACAGAGACTGTTCACCCAAAAATTAAATATGCATTTCTGTTGTTGTTTACTCACTGCCATGTTGCTTAAAACTTATAAATGAGGTTTAATGAGGTTTAGAACAGAAGTGGAAAGATTTAAACAACTGCTTTTTGAGCTTGAACGCCATTATCAATACCCAGTATCACTGTATAGAAAAAAAACAACTTGAATATTATCTTCCACAAAAGCAAATATCACATGTGATCGAAAATAAAACATCTAAAATATTGTAATATGTCAATAATATCTATTTGAGCAATTTCTGGGTTTTCAACCTGGGGTTCTGTAGAAACATGTAAAACAGAAGAAGAAAAATGACATTCCTAGCTATTTAGATTAACATTAAATAAAGATCTGGGGCTGGTTGCATAAACTGTTTAGACTAGTCTTAAAAAGTTAGTCATCTAATTTTTTTCTTCAAGACTGGTCATAACTTTTTTAATTCAATTATGAAAAGGTAGATTGGTCTTATTTGTGACCCTGGACCACAAAACCAGTCTTAAGTGTCAATCTTTTGAAATTGAGATTTATACATCATCTGAAAGCTGAATAAATAAGCTTTCCATTGATGTATGGTTTGTTAGGATAGGACAATATTTGGCCGAGATACAACTATTTGAAAATCTGGAATCTGAGGGTGCAAAAAAAAATCTAAATATTGAGAAAATCACCTTTAAAGTTGTCCAAATGAAGTTCTTAGCAATACATATTACTAATCAAAACTTAAGTTTTTATATATTTACGGTAGGAAATTTACAAAATGTATTCATGGAACATGATCTTTAATTAATATCCTAATGATTTTTGGCATAAAAGAAAAATCGATAATTTTGACCCATACAATGTATTTTTGGCTATTGCTACAAATATCCCCGTGCAACTTAAGACTGGTTTTGTGCTCCAGGGTCACATTTGTATTGGAAAAGTAAGACTGATTACTAGTTGGTCAAACTAGTTCTGAAGACACAGTCTTAACATGGTGGCTAAGTTTATGCAACTGGCCCCTAAAGAGCATTATAAAACTGGCATACTGAAATATTGGATCAAAATCTTTATTACAATAAAATTAGAATTAAACATTTAAAAAATATATCCTTCAATAATTCCTTTACACTTTCAGTGGATAAAACAGTAAATGCACTGCACAAATTCTCAAAACCATCTCTGCTGATCTCTGGGTCTGTGCATAACCCCCGACAAGCAAAAAAATGGCTTGTCATAAAATTTTATTTGCAAAGGCCTGACTTTCATTCATTCATTCATCATTCTCTCATACACATTTCATTTCATACTAATTAAATAGCCTAAAACACTCACCAAATCAGTCGCTCACAGATGTGAATATTCAACCAGCTATTTTAAGTTCATAAAATGTCAACAAGACATATTAAAAAATCTCAAATTTAACATCATTCTTGAGATATACTTAGGTAGTTTTAAGTCACATCCATACTGTAATATCCTATAAAACCGTGTCTACACTGGACGCGAGCAATGTATCAAAACCATTCTATTTCAGCTTCTGTCATAATGGAGCAACAGCTGAAAAAGGCTTGTGCACCATTCAGAGCTGAATTTAGAATGCATTTTAAAACGAACAATTCTTGAATTTGAATTGAGGCCAAGATAGATAGATAGATAGATAGATAGATAGATTAACACTGACTACTGACTGGAAGTCCTTCATTTTCAATGACAGCTGGTGATTTGAAATAACATTCTTTGAGTGCAGATGCCAAGTGAGCATAGAAATGCATACTAGAAACCAGCAGTACAGAGACTCAGTGACCTCCAGCCATCAAAAGTTTCTGAAAATGGCCTGCATTGACAAAAAACTTGTATTGCAGTGTGAACTCTTTCAAGAAACAAAGTTGGACGTATTCATTGTAGAGACGGCGTAAAAATAAAAGAAAACGATGCCTGCAAGAGGTTAAAGTGATACAAAAGTAGATGTTCTGCTTCAAAATCACTTGCAGGAAACATAAACTTGAAATCTCATCTTATTAGTTCTCACAAGAGGCTGAGCTGGACAGCAGAGGTTGATATAAAACTCAACAGCATGGCAGATGAAGCCTCGATGGGCGATGCCAGACGGTGAGAGCAGCCAGTGTGACGTGATCTTTGAGCTTCAAAAACAATGAGGAGTCTATTAAAACTTACGAGGAGTTTCTTTTTCTTTGCGCCATGTTCTTTCATAATTACCCATGTGATCTTGTGCCATAATGAAAAAAAGTTTTAGTTGAAAGGGGGGGAAAGGTTTTGAAGCAGCCAAGACACACAGCAAGTCGTCTCCAGTGAAGCCAAGTGAAAAAAATTGGGTTTTTTCAGCATTATTAAAAGATGCAATTTGTTTTGACAGGTTTCTGGCATATTCTCTGCGTGACAATAAATCAGATGTATGTTTTTGGCTCCTCGCATCCCTGAGGGCAATTCAAAGTCCTTCACAGTTTGAGAGAAAAGGTGTCAGTGATGATTAGCCCCGCCTCCTGCTCCACAGCCATTGGTCACTTTCACATGTCCGTCATTGTCCTCGGTCACACTGGTTTCCCCATCCTCTTCCTCGTCTTCTTCATTGTCGCTTCTCTCGTCTTTGGTTAACTGTCAAAAAAAGTATATTAGGGAGGAGAGTTCAAAATTAATTTAGTCAACACAATAGCTAAAACAGACTCTTTTATTTTTAAAACAAATCTGCGATTAAAAAAAATTGTGTTTACCCATGCAAAACATCACTTTAGAGAGAAAAGAAAAAAAAAAGATTTGTCAATTTTATTTGTAAAAGCCTGAGTTCCTTCACCTCAATTTATTCTTTAGTCATTCTCTCATACGCGTATCTATAGAAAACTTTACCTCAATTCAGACTCAAAATTGTGAGATATAAACTCAACAAAACTTTTTTTCTTTTTTTGTTGTTGTTTTTGTTTTATTTTATCCCCTACTACAGAATAAAACATTTTAAAAGTAATAGCAACTTATCTCACAATTCCACATTTTTTTTCTCGCAATAGCTGGTTAATATCTCATGATTCTGACTTTTCTATAATATAAACGTGAAATTCTTTGTAAGAAAAAAAAACTGCGAGAAAAAAGTTGGAATTGTGAGATAAAAAGTCACGATTACCTTTTTTCCAAAGAGGATACCAGCTTCCTTACATAAAAGCTAAATAAATAGCCTAAAACATGCACCAAATTAGTCGCTTAGAGTTAAAAAAAATAATAATCATTTATATTCAGCACAACAGCTAAAACTGAATTCAAGAAAGAGAATTTGAGTGGTGTTTATCCATGCAAAACTATACCAGGTTGTTTCTGTGTGGTTGCTAAATGGTTGAGTGTTTTTTTTTTGCATGCCAAAGTTTAATATAAGTTTGTTTAAATCACTAACCCAAAGTATGATCCATATATAAGCAGCAGGTTTACTGGTCCTTAGCTTAGCAAACATTTAAAAATCAAACAATAAGCACGCCGATCTTTGAACTTCCTGTACTTCGGAAAGCCAAAATCAAAACCCCAGCATCTGAAATCTGAAAATAGAAACATTTTTGAAACATAAACCTAACGAGCCATTTGTAGAAACCAGATGCAGATACACAATCCATCATCCATAGCAAATGAATCTGAACAGTCTGATGTGCACTAAATCACGACTAATTAGGTCCCTTTGTGCAACAGGCTGCAGGTACGTGGAGCAGAGAAGCGATTGAATCTGGCATCCCTCATCCGCTGTGCATTTGCGAGAGATCATGTACGCTGCCAGTGCAATCACTCTCAAATTATGACTCACCTTTTTCAATAGACCGAGCAGGAGTGAAAACAATAGAGCACTAACTACAGGCTGGCAGGGCTTATTTTAATCAGAACGCCAGTGTAACTGGAAATAACAGAACAACGGCACAGACCTGGATAACTCAGTCACTGTTACGAGCTTGTGTCATCGTTTCAGTTCAGAGTATAATTCATGCAGGATGGCTTTGTCTATAACTTCTATTATATGCATCTTTGTTTTAGTGTGTTTTGCATGAATCAAGGCATGTGTTTCCTACAGGAGTCTGCTGTTGCAACAGGGAGCTCTGACCTAAACAATAATAACATTATTTGTCCAAACATATTATTCACATACTGAAAACATTAATACTTTTTATTCAACAAGTATGCTTTAAATTGATCAAAAGTGACAGTACACAGATATTTATAATGTCAAAAAAGAATCAGATTTCATATAAATGCTGTTTTTGAACTTTCTATTCATCAAAGAATCCTAAAATATCCTAAAAATATTAAGCAAAACTTCATTGATACTAATAAGAAATGTTTCTTGAGCAGCAAGTCAGCATATTAGTATGATTTCTGAAGGATCATGTGACACTGAAGACTGGAGTAATGATGCTGAAAATTCAGCTTTTCCATCTCAGGAATAATTACATTTTAAAATGCATTCGAATACAAAACAGTTATTTTAGATTGTAATAATATTTCACTATTTTTACTGTATTTCTGATCAATACTGTATTGGTGAGCAGACTTATTTCAAAAACACTGACACCAAACATTTTAACTGTATATATTTATACTATATATATATAAATGTATATATTTTGAAAAATATTTCAACTGAGCTTAAAATAACAATTTTTAATCAAAATAAATATATTTGATATATTTTCACAATGATGCGCTTGAATATTAAGTGACTTTATTTTATTTTTTTTTTAAGTGACGTGACATGTGGCCAAGTATGGTGACCCATACTTGGAATTAGTGCTCTGCATTTAACCCATCCAAAGTGCACACACACAGCAGTGAACACACACACACACCGTGAACACACACCCGGAGCAGTGGGCAGCCATTTTTTTGCTGCAGAGCCCGGGGAGCTGTTGGGGGTTCGGTGCCTTGCTCAAGGGCACCTCAGTCGTGGTATTGAAGGTGAGAGAGAGCGCTGTACATTCACTCCCCCCACCTACAATCCCTGCCGGTACGAGACTCGAACCCGCAACCTTTGGGTTACGAGTCCGACTCTCTAACCATTAGGCCACGACTTCCCCGATTCCAGAATGCAGGAATTTCTTCCTCTGAGAAGAAAATGTGACTCATGAACTCATTTATTGTTTCAAATGGCCAATGTGGTCATCTAGCAGGAGGCAATACGAGTTTCCATATACAGTATCTCATATACAGATCTTACCTCTAGTGAGTAATCTTAAATAAGCACGTACACACTGCAAAATTTTAGGAGTGACACCAGCATTAAAATACAGTAAATCCCATAAATTATCATTCAGGAGTCCCTCCCACAATTGCTCTAAGGAAGAAACGCAAATGCCAACAGTCTAACTTGTTTGGTGTTGGTTATAGTTCACAAAAGTAATACAATTTACAATACATTGATTCAAAATAAATTATTTTTCAGGTGGGAATTTGGCTGTAGAATGTGGTTGTCACACATTACCAAAATGACAAACCAGTGATAACCATATTGACTGTAACTGCAGTGTTCATCTCTATTACACTGACCTGCATCATATTTGCTGAATGAAATCCAGTACTTGTTTCTCACAAATTTAAGGCCGCTGATTCCAAAGATAGCGCCTGTTTTACTCTAGCATGTTACAGTTTCTCACAAAATATGATGCATTTCGTAACATTTTTGCTTTAGACGGCCATTTGTAAGGTGAATAAGTCTTGTATTATGTTAATATCAGGACATATTAGGCCTTTTATGCAAATCAGTTTTTGTTCAAGATGCAGGGCACACACACCGTATAGCCTAATTACAAATGTGTTCATGTGCTGTACCAACCCACACTGGTATAACCAGCATTATGGGATGGTTAACTAGACCAGTAAAGCCAGTGTTGATGCAATAATACTCACAATAGGACATTTAAGGGTGACAATAACTGAAAACTGTGCCATAACTGAAACTCTGCCAGCTCACAAGACAGCGTAAACAAATAGACAATGCTTCTTTTAAACAGCTTTAGTCAGAAACTCATAAAATGAAATAGTTCAGTGCATCCAGAACTATCTGACTGCACAATGGCCAGAGTTTTATGACTTGTTAAAAGTCATACGGTGTCGGTTGTGTCTGTTGAGATGATTGATAACTAGCCCGAGGGTGGTAAGGTAACAGCATTAATGGTATTTGTTAGTAACATATGACCGACGGGCTGCAGAGATGCACTTCATTACGCTTATTTTTGAGTCATTCAGATCCACTATGCCTGTAACCATCTTATAAATGATTTTATAATGTATTCAGGGCTTTTCACACAATGCTTAACCCTGGGTTAATGTCTTTTTAACCTCGGGTAAAGCAGTGTTTCACACTTATAATTTTAAAAGGGGTTAGCGATGCTTTTAACCCTCATTTATGAAGATCTGCTCCAACAAAATGTGGTGCCAAAGGTATAAAATTATAGAGAATGTTACAGTGAGTCGTTTAGAAACAGACAACCAATCATAAACTGATTCACTGCTTTCCTCATTAAATATTCATGAGATCTGCACATTCACAGTTTAGTGTCAGTTTGTTTTTTGGCCTTCAGGTTTCAGACTTGAGAAGAGCAGATTGATCACAACATTTACACAGATGCACAGGCAAATACAAACACAAGTCGCATACAGTAGCCTATGTGTCCAATAAATTTGCAAAAAAATAAATCTCAAAATATGACTACCCAAAATTATTTGCTAACCCAGTGTAACGTGAGACCATTCAAACATGACAATTTGAAGTCCCAAATATAAAAGTAGAAGAACTTACACTTCCAAAAAGGAACATCTTCACCATGCGTAGAATCAGATACGCCCAGAATATGTGCAGCATCAACAGGATGACAAGCATGAAGTTAAAAAAGTAATATCCAAAGAACGGCGGGTAATAGTCGGGAGGATAAACCCACGTGCAGTGAATGATCCTGGAATAAAGATGCATGAGACAGAGACAGTTTTTAATATCAGTTGTAATAAACAAATAATGCATGCACGTTATGTAAAATACACCTGAGACTCTTTATCAGAGCTTGGAAATAATAGTCACACAATTCTCACCAAAATGGAAAGATTATGAGTCGCGTGACTATGAAGACAGCAGCAAATACCACAAAGATGCCGTTGCATGTGCTTTCCCATTTGGCGTAGTTGAAGATCTTAGCGGACTGTGGAGAAATAACACAAAAATAACAAATAGGTGCAATTCGTACAGGGTTTTTACAGTTAACTAAAACTATATAGTCTTTTATTATTTGAAATAAAATAAACTTTAAATAAAAAATTTAATTATATATATATATATTATTTCTGTATCTTAGCTCATTTCATTTAGTTTAACTTTATGTACTAAAATAACTAAAACTAAACCTGAAATAAAAAATAATATATACTATTGAAATAATATAAATATATAGACATATTTAAAACAAACAAAAACTAATAAAAAATAAATACTAAAACTTTAACAAAAATTCAAATGAAAACATAACATATAAAAATAAAAACTAATTCAAAAATAAAAACAAATTCAAAACATTAAAAAAACTATAGTTTCTAACTAGATAACACTGGTGTTAACCATATGAAACCAATAAGAACATCAGTTGTTCAGTTTGCAGTGTTTAATAGCGACTCAACATTTTTCAGACATTCATAAACACTACATTAAATGGGTTGACAAATGTATTCCCTACAGAAACAAGTTTTTTGAGTGACATATTGGAGGACTTTTTAAAGGTGCCATAGAATGGAAAACTGTATTTACCTTGGCATAGTTGAATATTAACAGTTCTGTACATGGAAATGACATACCGTGAGCCTCAAACACCATTGTTTCCTCCTTCTTATGTAAATCTCGTGCATGCAAAAGACTACTGAAAAACAAGCGAATCAGATCAACATTGAGCCGCACTGTGAAACAGCCAATCAGAGCAGAGCTCAACATTGAGCTGCACTGTGAAACAGCCAATCAGAGCAGAGCTCAACTTTATTATTCATGACCCTTCCAAATAAGGTAAAAACAGACCATTTCATTCTAGGGACAAATCCTAGGGTTGTAAATGGACATGTAAAACCGTTTCTGGAGATTTTTTGCCCTTACCTAAGCCACATACCTTCTATGTAGATATCAGAGAACAATTTAAAATATTGTATCAATGCATTCTATGGCACCTTTAAATAACCAGTAGCCTCATTCTCATCATTTCTCATTCTAGAGCATATGTTTATACTAAAGTTGTATTTTGCCTGAGTGCAAGGTGAGACATCACTGTTTTTGATTGTTTAAATCTTAACAAAAGGTTTTTTGTTTTTTTCAAACAAAAAAAAACATGTGTAATGTTTCCAGAACCCATTCCACCAAACAAATTTCCTGTCACTCTCTAATACAGGGGTACACTCTTAAAAATAAAGGTGCTTCACGATGCCATAGAAGAACCTTTTTGTCTAAATGGTTCCAGAAAGAACCTTTAACATCTGAAGAACCTTTCTGTTTCACAAAAGGTTCTTTGTGGCGAAAGAAGGTTCTTCAGATTATAAAAAGGTGAGAAAAAGATGGTTCTTTAAAGAACCTTTGACTGAATGTTTCTTTGTGGAACCAAAAATGGTTCTTCTATGGCATCGCTGTGAAGAACCTTTTAAGCACCTTTATTTTTAAGAGTGTAAATGGCTAAAAATACAATAAAGAATAAAATAAGATTTGGTGTATCATTAACCTCTAAAAGAATGTCAGAGGAATCGTGAATGAGCATGACCAGGGTCCCGACCCGGATGTAGTTCCCACACCAGGAGAAAGCCAAGAGCGTCAGCGTGGCCCAATGATGGATGATCTGCTCTTTAAAGTCCTGAAATAAATATATATGAGAAACATTCACGGAAAGTTTTCACAATCATTCTCAGTGACAGAGAAAAAGTAGATGAGATGAAAACAACAACAAATCAATCTGGCTTTAAATGACAGATTACAATAGCTTTCATTGTGTAAATAATGATCAGATGTTTATTTCAGGTCTTGTGATAAATGGTTAGGCTCAGACGAAACAGTTTGAAATATAATTTAAAAGATTTCATGTAGTTAAAAGATAGTGTGGTGTCACATGATACTCACCTTTCGTTTGACGTCGAAGGTTATTCTGAGCACTAGCGAAAAATAGAAGCTCATCTCCAAAATATAATACCAGTACTGAGAATCTAGCACGGACTGCAGGAGCAAAAACACAACAATACGCTCTCAGAAACATGCACCATAACAAGAGATGACCACCGCTACATTTTTATGACGGAAAAAGTAAAAGACTCTGATTGATCCGAGCTATAACTCAATGTGAATTTTATGTAATTCATTGTGCTTTGATGCAGCGGGAGTTTGAAGACGGCTCTTTTTTTTTTTTAAATGATTATTCTAGGAAACTCAATGTTTTGAGTGCCAATCTGAATGACATCACTGTTCTTTTGATTGCAACCTGGAACTCACATAACAAGTGTGAACGGATCCAAAAAAAACCTTCAGCTTGGCCAAAAAAGACATCTTTCTTCTAAATATGGCCATGTTTGATTTGGAACTAGCGTGAGCCTTATTATCTGCCTTATTTATTAGCCGTGCCGTAAATTTGAGTGTTGCGTGAACCCTTTATCGGGGCCGGGTCAAAGTGAACAATATCTCGCCTGCTCTTATTAGTGCAGGTGATATGAACAATAAAATATCCCTTGGAACAAATACAAGCAAATTAAAGATCTGAAGACTGGAACATACCTGTCTGGGATAGCCATTCCACACCTCCCTCAAATTATAAAACCAGGGTTTCTGTAATAAATAGACAAATCAATATTCAACTTTATGGAACACGGAACATTGGCTTTTTACTGACAGTTTTTGGAGCTGCAAGGTGGCTGTGTTCTAAAACCTAGTATGCTGCCTACTTAGGTGTCGTTTTAAGGCATCACAGGCACAATCCAAACACAAAGACTTCTAAAGCCAAACACTTGTGGAAATCCCATAATGCAGTGGTTCTCAATAAAAGGGCCTCTGCAGATTTTCAAGGGGGCCTCAAGATAACTTAAATAAATTAAAATAAGCTAAAACAACTAAAAAAAAAAGTATTTCTTATTTTAATTTGACCTCTCAACAGCTGTTTATCAACAACTGTGTTTTCTTTTCAAGGGTTCCTACGGTCTTTGAAAATGGATATGTGAGGAGACCTAATTTCAAACGTGTGAGTTTTATATTTATAAAAAAATCTAATATTTTTAAAATCCTTATCCTTAAATCACGTTGACTGGAAAAGTCATGTAAATTCATAGGTTAAAAAGAGTGGAGAACATTAAGCTCTTAAAACACTTTTGAACAAAATACAATTATGACATTTAATTATTTTAATTATTAGAATTAATATAGTTTTAGTTACTTTATTTTATTTTAATTTACAGAAGCAATGAGTGTCTTTAAATTAAAATAAATTTGAAAACTAGGTCTAGGGGGCCTTCAAATATTGTGGATAATGGAGTCAAAAAGACTGAGAACCACTGCCATAATAATGCATTGCAATAATCCAAATATAAATATGTTTAAAAATGATTTCAAATAATTCCAAGAGTACAATAAATACACACAATTTAGTTTAAATAAAAATGAATTTGTTTACCCAATATTTGTATAACTATGCATTGTCATTAGCTTAGCAGTATAACACAAATTCTATTAAAATCAATTGTTGCGTCCTTCCTGAGTGCTGTGCACGCACACTATTTGTACGATGCTGCCTGTGTAGTGTGTCCCAAATTGCTCTGCATTTCCCACAGTGCTCATCTGTCACAAATACATTCGATTTCTCAACACCACAGAGCTGATCACAGATCAGCTTCATTGGCCAAAAGCATGTCAATCATCAGAACAGGAAAACAGGCACAATTTTCACATATTTCTAACTTCAGATATGCAGAAGGATATGAGAAGAGGATAAACTCACATCATACAGGGCTATGATACCACCAATGAACGCCGCCAGATAAAACACCATTCGCCAGCTACAGAGACAATCCAACAGAGAGGAAAGCTCATGTGATCAGGGATTACATTCAAATCAAAACAACTAGTCAACACTAGTCTTGACAGCATAAGCAGACAGCAACAAATTAGCAACCACTTGGGTATCAGGCCTGGTATGACCGCTGCAGTGCGTTGTGGGTATTGCATGTGGAACAGTGTTTTATAGGAAACACTTATAATATGGTTTCAATATATTTAACAATACAACCTAAATCTTGCACATAGTTACATTTACTGTGTATGGTGGGTAAAAATAAAATAATAAAAAAATTGGAAACAAATCCTAAATATGTGATCTAGATGGAACTGAGTTCAATTAAAGTTTCCAAATAAATTTTGCAGAAAATCTTGTCTTAAAGTGCCGCTATTATATTATTTTTGAAAGTTACCTTTCATGCAGTGTGTAACACAGCTCTAGGTGAATGAAAGCATCCTGCAAAGTTTTAAATCTGAAAGTGCACCGTGTATAAAGTTATCGTCTCTCAAAAGAAAGAGTCGACTCTGAATCATTGAAACGTGTCGTTTTTAAGACGAATCCCAAGCCGTTTCATGTTGACGTCAACATGAAACATTAGCATATTGCCCGCCCACTTGATTAGCATATTGCCTGCCCACTTGTTGGTCTTTTCCGTTGGTCTGAATGAAAATGCAAATTCATTCTTTGCCACTAGGTGCCGCTTTTGGAGCGGTAAAAATAGCGGTTTCCCCGGTAACGACACAAAGCAGCACTGTGCTCACAAACGCTGCTTTATCAGGCATCACAGGCATGATGAAAATGAAAATGAGCCCAATCAGACCAATCACCGCAGATTAGCGTCACGCAAAGGAGGGGTTTGGAAAAATGAATCGTTGAACGAATCGTTTGGGAGCAAGTAAGGTAAAAATAAATGCATATTATAAGACAATGAAAGTGTTTTTTGACCTTGCATGCATGTCAACCTGTTGTTGGGGACTCCCAAAACCAAAATATGAACCTTTCATAACCCATAATAGGGGCTCTTTAATGTCTAAAACAGTGATTCTCTCCAGTGATCAAGCCAAAGGCGACTTTGAATCTGATGTGGATCTGTGATATCGTTGAGTGAGAGTAGATTTTACCTGTCCTGGATGTTTTGATTTTGTAATGAAATAATGTTCAAGAACAGCATTGTGCTCCACTTTGTATCCGGTTTTCTCTGTAACGCCAAGCGAAGCTGCGAGCGGTATCGCTATCAACCTAAAAAGACAGACATTAGTAGATTTAGATTGTTAACATTTTTGATTATATGCAATTCTTAACATTAAGTTCCAAGTATAAATCATCCCTGAAGCATTTTTACATCCTTCATGTGAATCCAAATTATATTTCATATATCAGTTTTGTGGTGAAACTAACTAAAAAGTACTCCAGTAATGTTTTATTTAAAACTTCATAAATACATCAAAAGGGTAGTTTTACTTTAAATATGCTTTGTAGCTTGAAAAGTTCTCCAACACTGATCATATTTGTTGCGAAAAATATCATTAACAAATTCTCACGCTGCGGCTGGCCTCTGAAATCTGCCCTCAAATGATTGATCAAATTTCCATTTCCTGCAACATAGCCACAGAAATTCCTCAACTGACTCACCTTTCAAACACGTATCTGACTACAAGGAAGACTAAAGCATATGGCACAGTGACGTAGAGGTGGGATGCTCTGGCGTAGACGAGCCCTTCCTCGTCTTTGAGATCGGCCCACGTGAGGTTCCCCGGCAGCCACAGCCGGTCCCACCACAGCCACTCACTAATCGTCCCAATCATGACGTGATCTGGTGAACACAAGCACAGCCAGACAAGATTTTACATGTCATGCTTTAAACATATAGGTGTTTCATGTCAACACCCCCTAGAGCAACGATAAACATCTCAGATTATATTACTGCATTTATCAAGCAAGACACTGTTCCTAGTGATAGAAGAGTGTTTTTAACATCAAACCAAAATTGACATCATTTACTCTCTTAAAGGAATAGTTCAAATTTGCATTTACTCACTCTCAGGCCATCCAAAGTGTAGATGAGTTTATTTCTTCCTCAGAACAGATTTGGAGAAATGTAGCATCGCATCACTTGCTCAGCAATGGCACCCATTCACTGCACATTGCTGAGGAAGTGATGCAATGCTACATTTCTCCAAATCTGTTCCAACGAAGAAACAAACTCATCTACATCTTTGATGGACTGAGAGTGAGAAAATTTTGTACATTTTGATGCATCCGTTTGTCTTCTTAATCTTTTTTCCTCTTTATTGATAGTAGATAACCTACAAACCGTTATATACTAAACATTTCACTGTAGCATACATCATCAAACAGTATTAAAGTTTATAGGGAACTCATAAATATTTAATTGTAGTACCTTACAAAAAATATAGATTTTTCTAATAAAGAGAGATGGAGATGTAGGAAATTAAATAGGAGATATTCAAATATTTATTATGGATTTACAAAACAACTTCACTAACAAAATAAAGAGGGTAATAGTAGTATAATCATAAAATAATATTGTCATCTCATAATATGAAATAAAATATTTTCAGTGCAAAAGTATGATAAACATTTGTACACTAAATATAGAATTTGCAAGTCATTTAAATGCAGAATTAAATGAGTCAGTTAGATTTAGCCTCAGACATATAAGCATTCATGATAAAAATAAGGCTTACTCAGCGCTGTGGATTTATGCCAAAAACCAAAACAGATTCTCATTACTTTTTTATTAATGTTTTACAATATTCTCCTGCATCCATTTAAACCTTCAACAAACGTGCAACGAAAGCACAATTTCAATAATACCAAACAATAATAAGGTAAACAGTCAAATTACGTAAAGACTCTGTGTTAAAATGCTTGAGATTCTGTAGCTGTGGTATATAATCAGTTTTTGAGCCTTAACAAATGATTCACAAAATCTGTTGAGTGTTGATGACCAAACAGCTCTGCTGCTACTAAAAACAGTGTTTGATAGGGGCGATGCTGACCTGGGGCAAAACCACAAGCTTATGTACCTACACACACCTGAGACACCACCTGATCTGGGAATACAAGTAAAGCTGGTGTGAATCTACATGTTACAGTGTTGATTTCAGATCCATTTAGTAAATTACACATTAACAGCACTTCACACCCAAGTTAAATACCATCCAAATATTAGCTTTCATATACAAGGAAACAAACTCTCTATAGAGGGAAATATTAATGAGTTTACCACAAGTGAAAGTATGTCACAGACTGAATAATAACATAATCCTGGGTTCCCTTTCAGTCGGTCACTCCGAGTCACGTCGGTGACAGATGAATTGGGATATCGCTTCAATAGACCAATCCACTTGATGGTCACGATCGCTGCCTCACGTGTCTGGGCATTAAGCAAGCTGAGGTGGCCTTTGTGGATGAGTCATGTTCTCATTGCGGGAAGATGACCATTTCGGAGCTGCGAACCAGGCTCCGCTACCTGCGAGGGGGCGGAGTCCCGTTGCCGCTGCCGCGATCTGGGGCTTGTTCTGGCGGAAGGCAGATGAGAACCACTTCCAGCTTGAGGGTTACAGTGATGGCAAACCCCGCAGGGAACCAACCCTCTGGGGACCATCACTCCTCTTGCTCCTCCGATCCAGTGGAGCGACCCACGGAACGCACTGGGCCCTCTTTAAAGAGCGTACCAGCGGTATCCAGTGGACCTCCCCCCGACCAGATGTCAATCTCAGCATCGGAGGGAGAGCTGTCCGACGAGGATTCGGCCGCTCTGCCGCCCTCCGGGATGGTGGCAAAGCCTGAATCGGATCCGGAGATGACAGCTATGCTTTCCCGGGCCGCCGAAAGGGTCGGCCTCGAGTGGAAACCTCCACCGTGTCCCAAACCCTCAAGGCTGGATGATTGGTTTCTCGGGGTGGCT